AGAGTTGGCGGCGATGAAGAAGATGGGGCGCAACCGCCAGTGCCATGGGAACAGGGGGTCCTGATGGGAGGTTTTCTTGTAGCGCATTTGGGGTCTAGGGTTTAGGCTGTAGGGTGGTCTAGGCTTTAGGGTTTCGGGTTGGTAATCCCCTCCTCCTATTGCAGTACATTAGAAAAATTATAGGAATATATAGGGAAGATTGAATATCACGGCGGGCGTGCGGTCATATTAGGGGGAGGGGAGGAGAGACTCGGGGAGAACGATCCAACAGGCGGTTTCCGGAAGGCGTTGTAGGCAGTCGGCTTCCATGTACCATGCCCCAGGCAAGATGAGCTTCTTATTTCTCATTTTCGCATCCGCAAAGCTCCCATAGATACTGAATCTTGGTAGGACACCCAGGCACCTTCATCACTAGGGATTGCTTGACATCATGCTGTAACCAGCGAATTCGCTGCATCTGGTATGGGTTAAAAGCCGGAGATTAATACCATCCTGAGACATCCACGCACAGTACGTGTTCAGCTTTGACAGCTTTGTTCGAGTGACCCTGAGGTGCTTCGACTGTGGTGCTGCAGATGTTAGCTGGGCCTCGCCAAAGCTTGGGACCTTCATCTGCGCAGCGCGGCTTCAAACTTAACTGCTTGTAGAAGACACAGGAACTGAGTGAGCCACAGAAGTACTTCGCAAGGAAGACAGTTGTGATGATTGATTAGGTCAGATGCCGAGCATGGCTCTAGATTAATTCGTTCAAACTATGTTCGTGTCGCGCGGGATGGAAGCAGAACTGCCAAGTTGAAGGCAGCCTGGTTCTAACAACACAGTGCTGCTGCTGCTGCCTCTGCCTCCCACCTAACAACACAGTGCTGCTGCTGCTGCCTCTGCCTCCCACGAGATGGTTAACGCTATTTGTTGTTCAGGATTGACCTTGTTTTTTTAAAACCCCTGCCGCGGCCGTCCCAAGTGGCCCCACAGCGAAACAAACTCCTACATGCAGGATGTGGCAGGGTCCAAGGGCGACAATGTCTGAATGAGGTTTTCAAAGAGTCAAAGCTCTGCATTGCTGTTAGCGACTCGCAGGTCACATGTTCAGATGTGCATCGTGCAGCTGGCGCCCATATCACGTGTGTGAAGATGCTTGGTTGCCGCGGTAGGTTTAAAGGAGAAGAAGGGGTAAGCCGTTCTCCATAATGGTTATTTAAACTCAGGCCGCCAGCAAATAACATCCATGGCTATGGTATGTAGATGAAACTGGTGTCAAGTTGTTACATCCTAGCATCCTGTACCCCTGCAACCTCTGAATTCACGAGGTCCCAGCCCTAGCCAAGCAGCATTAACACAGCCCAGGAACTTCAGTACCTACCTCTGGTCCCTGGACGAGGCCAGAGGGCGAACGTTGAGGGTTGAGAGCAAAAGCTTGCGAAGGAAGATTGACTTTGTTTCTCAGGGGTCTCAGATCATGTTTGAGCAGCAACAACTAATTTCTAGCAGCTTAGTTCTGTGATAAGCCAGGGAATGCCAACAAGATTACGCTTGCTTCAGTATGGCATCTGCGGTATGTGCAGGCATGGCCGTCTCGATGTAGCAAGCCTGACATGACATCGGTCCTTGCAGTACCGGGCCCCTAGTATGGGCCCTTAATCCTGGCATCCTTATATACCTACTGTATATCCAAAATGTACCTTTAACAGGGCTGTACCGGTTCGATCATAGTTTGGGCGGTTCTTTCAGAATGGTTTTGGAATTGAACTGGTGCATACGATTCGGCGGGCAAGGATCAGTTCTGTTCGGTTCGGCTGGCGCCATTTACGGTTCCGGTTCGTGTCGGTTCCAACCAGGTTGGAGCTTTATAGAACATGATTCAGTGTAATCAGTACAATACAGCTGTGCCAAGAAAGTTTCTACATATTCTAGTCCATTCGGGTTTGCAGTCTTTCGGAGATTGAAATCATATTGGCATCAATCGACTTTGCCATCTTCTTGGCGTGCGAGCCGGGGATGTCTTCTTGGAGTGCCCAGGGGGGCGGGGGAGTCGCGTTTTGAGCGTTTTCGGCGCTAAAACGCGACTCCCCCCGTCCTCCGCCCTAGGAGAGGAGAAGCACCCAGGAACCCGGAGGAGTTGCGTTCCGAGCGTTTTCGGCTGAAACGCACTAGGCTCCCCGCGTCCTCCGTCCCAGGAGAGGAGGAGTGCCCCGGGGGGGGGAGTCGCGTTCTGAGACTTTCGGCCCTGAAACGCGCCAAAGCGACCTCGTTCCAGGAGAGGAGTGCCCAAGACCTCAAGGGCCAAGGGAGTCGCGTTCTGAACTTTTTCGGCCGCGCTAAAACGCGACTCCCCCACGTGCTCCGTCCCACGAAAGGAGGAGTGCCCAGGGGCGCGGGGGAGTTGCGTTCGGTTCACGTTTTCAGGCTATGAGGCTCCGGGTCTCAGGGTTTATGGGTGTGGGGTGTGGGAAGAAGCAGGAGCAGCAGGAGGAGGGGGAGGAGAGGCAGGAGGAGCAGGAGGATGAGGAGTAGCAACAGCAGCAGCAGGAGGAGGAGAAAGAAGAGGAGGAGGAGGAAGAGGAGGAGTAATAGTACCAGTATTATATATGAATGTATTAATAGTAATATTCGGGTCTGTTCGGTTCGTTTCATGCTGAAGCGGTTCCTCGCTTCGTTTCTTCCATCACCAGCGTTTCGGGCCGGTTCGTGTCATGCTGGTTTCAGGGGCGTTTTCGGAGCGGTTCGGTTCAATGGTCTGTGCGGTTCCAGAACGGTTCGGTTCCCCGAACCTGGTTCGCGGTTCTTTGGTCGGTTCGGTGCCTCCCTGCTTTAAGCATCCCTAGAACCCTCCCTACAAGGCCTAAGGGCCCATGTTGTGGGCCCACACTTCTAACCTTAGAGTACCTTTCCGTGGCTTCCAGCTTCAGGTGGAACTCATGCGTGCCGTTGGCAACACACGCGCGAAGGAGACTGGCACTCGTGAGTTGTGTTGCGAGTAAGGCTTCAGGGATTTTAGTGCATTTGAAGACGATAACATTAAGACAATAGCCTGGACCGTCACCAAACTGTTCCATGAAGTTTGCCTGCATCCCAGCAAGTTGGAGTTCAGCCCGGGCTCAAAGAGATATTCTGTCATATTCCTTGCGCCGATACACTCTCCACAATCTCAAAGCATTGTTTCCTCCTCCTCCCTCCTCCTCCTAGACTGTAGCCATGATTTCTTACATAGACTGTCTATGTTGTCGTAGTCTCCCCAAGGCATGCATCCAGCTTAGTTGCAAGGAGATTTACCGCCCGGGGAGTGACCTCTCCTGGCAGCCTGCAGAGTCCAAGGAGCAAAAGGCCAGGAATCCTGTAGCTGCAGAAGAAGCAGCAAAAATGATCAGTACCTACTTGTTGCGAAAATGTACCTAGTCCAGGAGCAAGACAGTCAAAGCTCGTTGGAAACAGCAGCGGCAGTGCCAGTGCCAAAAGCTCTAAGGTGCGGCATTGCACAAGGCTCTATGGAACTGAGAAGGTGCAGCTCGCAGTGAAGCGACACATTGAAGCAGCCGCTCTGTTGCCTTGGCCTGTGGCAGTTAACTAGGGAGTTCTGTTAAACACCTCCCAAGAAGAAGCAGTTCGAATTCGGAGACTGCAGGGCAGAGTGCAACGTGACACTTCAGTAGGAAGGGCTCTGTGCTGCAAGCCACTGTTTTCAGAATGCTCTGGCATCAAGGCCACCGCAGCGGCAGCGTCAGGAGCGAAGGTGTTGCAGAACATGCCAGCGCAAGGCTACTCCGGGCAGCTGGCACCAGCTGCAAAACCAGTCGTGACAGCTTCTGAAAAACCGAAGGCGACTCAAAGCGCTGCACCCGACTGGCTTGCAGATTGGCCTTCAGAAAGGCCGGCAGCTGTGAGAAGCTCCCAGAATGGTGAGGGCAGCGACTTGCCTGGGCCAAGCCCGAATGTCTGGACGCAGCCAGCACCAACCATGCCAACTACGCAGTTTGCCCCGCCTCACGTGCCAGAAATCAACTCCTCACAGCCTCTGTGCCGGCCAATTCAGTAAGCGAATGTCACCAGTATTTTTGGCACTGCTTTGAACCGGCTAAAAGAGGAAACAGCAAGGTTGACCACCAATGGCTTTCAGACATCCAAGGCATGACCTGCTAGATTTGGATCCCTTTCCGCCACCCGCCACGCACAGCAGCTCGCCTGGGCATGGCAATGGCCCGGCGGTTCTGACTCCGAGCGTGCAGGTGAACAAAGCCACGAAGTGTGAGCAGGATGGCAGTTTTTTTTGTTACAAGCTTTAAGGAGTTTAGGCTTAGGGGTACTTTATCAGCTGCTTGCACCTAGGCAGGTCCGCTGCACGGGGCTTCGTTGTTAGGCTTTTCTTTGTGCAGGATTTCTGGTCCAGCGTCAATTGGGACGAGCTGCTGAAATGAAAGGATGCCTCACAGTGAGCCACTTTCTTAAGAATCCTTGGTCTAAATCCAGAACCTGCTCAATGCAGAGCTAGGCACAGGCATGTACAGCAGTCCGCGCAAGGCAACTGCCTGCAAATGTGCTTGGCTGGGTGGGCAGAAAAGGAAGCGCTGCCCAGAGGAGGCTCCAAGGTCACCACAGACAGATGTAGAAAGCCAATCAGGAGACTTCCTCCAAAAACGCGTCAGTGAGGGCCAAGACTGGGGTCACATGGTTGAGGTTCCCGCGTATGCAGTGGCAGAGCATGGAAGGGCGCCTAGCTGTAATTGCAACGTTTGGCTTGTTTGGCTCAGGGGATTAATTCAGCATGTAGAACTAGCCTAGCGAATGCATGATGCTAAGGGCACTGCAAGTTCTGGTTTAACAGGCAGCTACGGCGTTCTTGTGTCAGCCAAGGTCATCTGCATAGACTTGGCCACAAAGACCTGAGATTGATAGCTGCTTGAGCATGAGACGTCGGCAGCAGCATCAGCAGCGAATGCGCGTAGAATCCATCAATAGAAAGTGCCGCTTTCAACGGTTTCACCCGATGAGGATCGTAGCCTGATGCCATGCTGCTGTACGACAACAAGAGCTTTCTGGGCTTGTTGTTGGAGCGTCGAGGTAGCGTTTTCTACCGCCCTGGCTCGTTGCTACTTGTCAAAATTCAGGACAAGGGTGCCAGGGCCAGCACAAAGTGGCACACAGCAGACTCCAGGGGTGAAGTTGCTGACCGCTACATATGTTTGTTCTATCTTGTGTACTTATCAAGCACCGCAGATGGTCCAAGCTTGCCTGGATGTGTTGGATACAAAAGAGACGCCAGGAACGATTTCAGCATTCACCACTTTGCAGCCGTTTCCTTGTCATTCCAATGCTTTTGCAAGGTTCGTGGGAATCGTCTTGTGCGGGCTCGGCGGTGGACTCCAGTACTGGCGGGATAGAGATGATGAGTGGGCTCCAGACATTTTTCACCACTACGGCTTCCAAGCGGTTGGTGCTGGAGTACCTTGAACCGCAACAGCAGACCTTGTCAGTCTGAAGATTCAGGCTAGCGAAAGTGTAGCGTGTAGCTGCCACCTAAAGCTATCAATTTTGTGGTCGGACTTCCAAAACTGCCGAGGTAACTTTTGCAATCGTATTCCGAACGCAGCTTGCGTGGAACCGGTACTGGGAGGCTGTAACACAGCTCCATTTCATGTACAGCAAGTGGGCCGACGCGTTTCTTGGCAGCTCTGGTTTTCGAGCAAATTCCCCGCTGCGAGTTCTGTTTTTGACCAGTTGTCAATATTTTTTCTGTGCTGGACGTTCGTAGTCAGCAGGCGTTCGATCACCAGTTGTTCAACGCTGCAACACTCTGCGAACCCTGCTCAAAATCCTTTTTCCTGGGGCCCTGCCGGCAACAGGGGTTGCTCGGGCTTTCAAGCTCAGGTTCTCGCAGTTCCAGGCCTTTGCAGAGGTGACGAAGAAAGCTGCCAGTGACAAGGGCGACTCTCTGAAGCTAGGCTGCCACAATAAAAAACCTCGAGTCACGTGCCTCGCAGACGCGGGCTTTGACCTTTCAATCAGTTTGACCCTGCTCGGCATGCAGCAGGCACTCACACTAAAGTTTGCAACATATTTCATGTTACGTCCCTAGTTTCTCTAAGGTCGACGCGGAGGTTCACAGATAGAAACCTTTTCTGTTGTTCTCAAACGTTTTATGTGGAATGTGAGAAATCCGCAAGATCTTAAGGTGGCTAGCCAGTGCTGCCGCAGCCAGACCCCGCATTTGTCAGACACCAGCTAGCTTTTGTTTGAGCTGAGGAAAGCTGACAGGATCCGGCAAAAGCAGAAGAGACTCAAGGCAGTGCATCCCATGCTAGACGTCTACGGGTGTGAATTCTCGGGATTCTCGAGCCTTGGGAAACAACCTTACATTTGCCCCAGTTTAGGTCTTGCAAGTGGAAGAGTACATGAGCAGCATCGCAGCCTGGGCTCATATAGAGCCAACCCACACACAACCCTCAATTGAGGATTATGGTGTCACCTTGAGTTTAAGCGAGGATCCTTGACGTTGTTTTCTTTTTGAACGTCACTGCAGAGTCAAGTGGAGGTGAATTACGCTTTGCTCAGCGCTTTTGCAGCAGATCGGCTTACCACTGGAGACTTGGCACAGTAATGAAATACGTATGTAGTCCAGACGATCGAATACACGTAAGCCTAAATTGTAGGACTCAATATCCTTTGGTGCTCCTCATGCAGTCAAAGAAATGCTGCGAAGATGCAAGAGCTATTTGGGTTCACATAGTTAAGTGGAGCTTTGCGGCCTTGTGCTTCCTTGGTCTTTTTTGGCTTTGGGGCTTGATGCTCTTATGTAGAGCCTAACCTAAGAGCAACGTAAAGTTTCCACGGAAACGACTAGCCCATGGCTTTCTAGGGCGCGAGGCACAGGGGGTTCAAATTGCAGAGGTACAGGGTGCGGGCAAGAGATGTTCTCTAAAGGGCTTGGATTACGCGATGACAGCCCCTGCCAAATCTTGACCAGCCGCCATGCTATTTACTCTAGTCAGTTTTTCACACCCCAGCCCCTTAATCTTGAAGTTTGTGGCTCGTGAAAGAATGATCTGGCACGACTGGGTACGTGAGCTACTCAGCCATCGTGGCAACCAGCGTGTTACTACCTACTAGGTTTCCTCTGTCAAGAAGTTGCTATATATGACAAGTTCGGCTAATATGACAGGCGGACATGTCGTCGAAACAAAGCCAAATGCTTGACTCAAAGGGAAGGCGGAAAATCCCAAACCAAGTCTCCCTAGACCAAAAGTTGCCACACACCCAACAAAGACATGCAAAATCCATGCCAACCGTAGAAGTCCTAAAGCTCAACATGCAGAGCGCATAGTCTAAAAAGCGAGGAGATAACCAGCGCATGGAGGAAGTGAATATCAGCAGGCGCGGCATTGCGTCCTGGGATCTGCTGCTGGGTTCAAGGTGTTGGGTCTTTCTCTCCTTTTGCCTTCGCACGCGGACCAAGATCCAAGGTTTTGGGGCCTTCTAGAACACAGTTGGTTCATCAGGGGCAAAAGTGGGCCCCCGAAACGCATCATAGAGGGCCTCTTCGTTAGAGTGAGTGCAACAGTATACAATTTTGCTTGCACCAGGCGTAGGCCAATTGCAGGAGCCAGCACAAACGCTAGCATCTGGTCTTCATTGGAATTCCTACACCACCGTAACACACACCACCCAAAAGGCAATTCTAATTCCTACATCCTCTCTCGCTGTGATGCAAACTATCGGAAATTTTAATACACTCCCCCAGTGACTTCTCTTCCGGTCATGCACTTGAAGGCTCGCGGGCTCATGGTTTTCTACGAACGGGGTTACATGCACCCTCACTGAAGCTATTACTAATCTATTGCTATCCTGCTTGAGCTGCTTTGCCTTCACTTGGCACGACCCGAGAACTTGTGCGGACGATGCCCTAGCTGCTATCCGTTCTTGGATGCAGACCACCAAGGGTGGGGCATGGGCTCCTGCCTCAACATCGCTGGACCGTGCCTCATCGTAGGACCACCTGTTGAGTCACACGTTGAAGATCGAACCAGCAGGTGGTGACCCATCTTCTGAACTGGATCAAGCCACCGATTGGCAGGGACAAACTTATGTGCATTTTGAGCCACGCCATTTGGCAGGCCATAGTCAGAAGCCGCTGGACACTTGCAAGCGCCCATGGCAACAATCCTTTCCACCATGCATCTGCTTGCCCACAACATGAGAGTAAATCCGCACCTCCCCGTCAACGTGCCTGATATGCGTCGAGCCTGCGCAGGGCAAAAACGCGGGCAACTATGCGCGTGGACAAGGAACACAAGGCCTTCTGCGCGCCTTACATGGTCGAGCCTCGTTAGCGTCTAAGGTTGAGTGCATGTGCACTTTGCACGAGGCATGCTGTCTAGAGAGATTTGGCCTTGAGCATGCAGCTGCTGCAGCTTAGATTGGCCGGCTTAGGCCGGCCTTGCATCTTGAATCTGTTAGGCTTTTGCATTTGTGGTCGGGCAGTCCCCTCACAACTCACTTCTTTTTCCGCCTTGGGTAGGGGCACATCCAAATGAGGAGCGACAAGACCACGACCGGACAAAGACGGATGACGGGTTGTATGTCGTCTTTCAAATGCCCTCGGATGAGCAGCTCAAGCTGTTGGCCAAAAGCTTCGCGCCATCGCTGCAAGTTTTCTGGGTGATTATTCAGTAGGGTCAGTATCGCATGGTTCTAAACAAAAGCATGAATTCAGGATGCCGTGGCGACGGTCATGTACTGGATCATTTGGGACTTGGCGGACGCTATGAAAGACATTGACATCGCGCCTCCAATCCAGTCCCGAATGTATCAGGACTGACTGGATCTGGCCAGGCTACATTCAAAGCAGTTTTGCTCCATAGCCACGCAATGACTCCTTCATTCATGCTTTCTGGTCGGAGGCTTGTAGCTCACACACAGATTTTACTTCCAGAAGCCAGACACTTTGCTAACTAGGCTAGCACGACAACGTCTATCACTGCCATGAGGCTTCCGTACTGCTGCCTGACAGCTTTGAGACCACATGAGATTGTTGAAGTTATCTGCTCCATGAGTCAGTGAGGAGCTCTCCAATGGCATGTTGCTTGGCCAGATCAGAAATCAAGTAGCTTACCACGACGCGATAATTTTCTAGTGTAGTCCAAACTTCTTAGAGGGGTTTATACGGGATTATATAGGGAAGTATTACAGGGGCTTATTAGGGGGGCCCTAGGAGTTTGGACTATAACTCAAACAACAAAGCAGCTTGCACTCTTTCACATGTGCCAGTGGTCCTGCACATGCAGCGCTACAGCTTGGCACATGCAGAACGTCCACAACTTTATGTTTCAGGTTGGGCTTCAACAACTGCCTGAAGATCGCTGATGTTCCTTTCCCATTACCTTTTGCGCAGCTACTGGGGCTGTTGCTGGTGGCGCTTCCTGGCAAGAAAGTTCGTTGACAGCCTGTGCTTTGCCAGATCTTGATAGTGGCTTTTGCCTCAACAAGCAAGGCATGCAGTGCAAATACGTAGCCAGTAGCAGTGGTAGGAAGGCAATGCAGCACAAGCCTTTTAATGACTGAATCAGGTTCTCAGCGTTCATTCCGGTCTACGTCATTGTCTTCACACAGTCTCCAATCGCAGGACCAATCATGCGGCTCGTTTCAATTAGATTACCTGGGCGATGCCCAGCCTGAGTGCGGGGAAGCATCATGCCTCCACATCTGCCATGTGTACACTGTGAACCACCTACACATCGTAACCCCAGACATGAGATGAAGAAGCTGCCCAAGCGCTGTGCCGCAGGTGTGTCAATTCATACGCATGTCTTAACCTATATGTGGCCGCGCCAAGGTGCTTCCTGCTCTTTGAAAGCTTGTGGTGCCTGAACGAAGTGGCTAAAGAGCTAGAAAATCCGCACGACGGTTGCAAGAAGTGCATTGAGCAAAGCAGCGGACGGGTCACCTGGTCGTTCGCGCGTCCTCGAAGTGAAAGTTGTGTCTCCAAGGTTTGGCCGCGATTCAAACGACATCACGCTATCTGCTTCCTGCTTAGAGTTTGGGAGAATCAACTTGACCTGTGTTGGTGCAGACTTGTATGTCTCCTGAATCTTCAACGAACCTGAAGCTCAACGGAGTTTGGTATTCAAAGTCTTGGGACGATTTAAATTCAAAATATGACAGGCCGACAGGCATGAAATCATAGTTGAGAGAGCCCCCCTGATTTTTTTTTGTGAGGCTCTGCATGAAGGGCCCCGAAAGTGAGAAAATCAGCAGCACTCACTAGCCGTCATCGACTCCTCTCCCGCCTCCTCCTCCTCCTCCTCCTCCTCCTCCTTGTCCCCATCGTTGTCACAGCTATCGCAGTAGTGCTGGTGATTTTGCTGGTGTTGCTGTAAATGATGCTAGCAGAAGTCAAGCCGCAAGCAACAGCTGCAAGAAAAATCCAATCGCGGAAGCAACAGCAGGAACGGCCTGCATAGGCAGCATTGAAGCTTCAGGACTTTCACCTGAACTTCGTGGACTCCTTGGAAGACATCAGCATGGCAGAGCAGCAAGTGCTCTTACACAAGCCCATCGTATCTCCCGAAGAATCCCTAACCAACTGCTTCTCGACCAGGAAGCAGTAATCGGTGCAGGGGCCATTGATCAACTTGCAGCTTTCCTGTAATGTGATATATCACAATGTAATAACGGCAGGGAGAGGTACAACCTGTTGGCATGACAGCATTTTTTGAAAGTGATGGCGCTGCTCAAGGAGTACTTGTCCGATAGCAGCAGCATAGTTGGAAGGAGTTATATACTGGCAATAAAGACGGTAAGAAAGTTTAAGTACTGCTGGGATGCCTCGGGGGCTCAAGGTTGGGGTTTCAAAGCATTTGTACTCCGTTCCCGGGCTACTGGCAGCATGATGGGTGCCAAGAAGGCATTAGCAGCGTCGCGTATTAGTGTTCCACGGTACGGAACATGCTCCTGAACGGAATCCAGCTCTTCATGTTCAATTTAGGCCACAAGGTGTAGTTCTCCAAAATGCACTACTTCCCCGGGTCGCCCTTTGTTATTAAGCAGTCCTAGAATCTCACAACTACTACAGTAAACCCTTTTTTTGTATCCCTATACAACCCCTATAACCCCTAAGATATCCTTGAACAACCCCCAAAATATCCGGTTGACTGCTCCATTGCCTCAGGCTCCGAAGAGGTTCCATCTGAGGGGCCGAAGTGAGATGCCAGTTGAGTAGAAGTCTCAAAATACCCAGGGCTCCCCCTTCGAGATGTCCTTATGCTGGGGACTTTGCTTTGGTTGGAAGCTAGAGGGCAGAATTGTATTCTCAGCGCTGCATGGATGCAGATGCAGACATGCAACAACTGTGAAAATAGCAGTGTCTGAGGTTCATGCGTAGGGCCTTAGAAATGTTCTTGTTTGAGGTGACGAAACGTTTGATCGTGCACAGGGCTCCTTCCAGGTTCGCTTTTTCATTCCAGACAAAGCCTCACTGAGGTTCAAAGTGCCCTAGTTTCAGTTGTAAGTCAGTTTTATGAGTCATCACATCTATAGGCAGGAACAGGTCTCGCTTGACTTTTACTTCGCAGTAGCAGGCCTCCTCACCAAATGGCGGAGGCTTGAAAGCAACATGGGCAGCTGTCAGGAACCCTCTCCCTTCATACGATATTTTGGGAGTTTCACCACATATTCCGTACGTAAACCCTAATAAGGATCCCCCATTACCCTTTTTGAGAACCCTGGACATATCTAAGATGCCTAGGGCCTCCTATTGAAACGATTCCCTTATCGCTGTGCAAAGCAGCCAAGCTTTGAACAAAAGCAGAGAATGGAGGTGGCATGCCTGTCTGACAGCTGCCCAAACGTTGGACACTTGAAAGCAACTAAATGTCCTGCCCCTTCTCTCGCACGAGAGATGGGAAGTCTCACAATATGAGCCCTGCTCTGAACTCCGGTGTACTAGGCTTCTATTGGCATGAGCGGAGGATTCAGAGGGTGAAGGAGGAACTCCCGCAGATTGCAGGACGTGCGAAGGAAACAGGTATGATGAGGAGTTCGAGAAGGTCTCACATGCTTTTCACCGGTAATTCTGCAGCCTCCAGTCTCCAGCCAGTGGTGCACTCGAGAGATCTAGGAGGCCTGGCCTCTACTGCAAATTCTTCAAGCATCAGTTGAAAAGCAAGAAGCAGCAAGAAGCGCCTTCGGCGCAAGAAGTCTCACCCATGTTCCTAGCAGCAGGCTGGTAGTAAGAACATATTTCTGTCCAACCTGTAGCAGCGATATGTTCTTGGGGGAGAGCTACAAGGTGGACCGGAGTAGAGTGCCATTTTCCTTTCAGGCTCCTCACAACCAGGATTGAAAAGAAAATCTATCTTCGCGTTATCGCCACAGCATCACGCTCATGTGAGATAGCGCCTCTGGCTTGCGAGAAGCTGTGCCCGGTGAACGTCGAAGATGTAGGCGCGCGCCTCTTTGCAGTCGGTGATCAAATGGCCGACATATGCTCTGTCTAAAGTCTATTTCTCAGAATCCTGAATTTTTGGATCCCTAATTGTGAGAAACCACCCAAATAAGGTAAAACTCTGTATCCTGCCATTGTGTCCATCCCATGCTTTTGCACTGTTCGGTTTCCAGTGCCCAGGTGGTGCAGACGGGGATATGCTCCTTTGCGTCCTGGGGCTTGGCATGCTGTACAATCACGCGCCTCGAATGCAACATCAAGCATTGAATCTGGGTAATAGCAGAACCTGGTTGAATGCATTCCGGTTGCGATTCTCAGGCCAAGATGTTGACGGACCAGTTCTGTCCTCAGCAAGGCATGACATGTGTCCAGCTCCAGGTACACCAGCAGGCCTATGCCTGAGATAAGATGATTTTGGATCTCACTCTGCTCTGTCTCTGAGGTGTGCTGGTGGTGGTGGTGCAAACCTGGCATATGTGACATGGCTTGCAAGTGTAGGAGCACTCCGATCTTGGCTTTGCCTGGAGTGAGTCAGTCGCTGCATTGCAGATCAAACTAGTGGATCCCACGCTGTTTTTGCGGTGCTGGATGTGAGCCTACCACAGACGCTGAAGTTCTGCCTCGACATGGTGAAAAGGTGCGGTCATGCAGAAGAAAGCAACTCACAAATGTCTGGAGTCTGGAAGCTAGAGCACACTCTGATTAGGCAGCTCGCCTCGTAAGCTTGACTGCTGTTTGTTCCAAAGCCAAGGCATTGCGCTCTCCACCAGAAGAAGCACGCGATGTCCAGGGGGCTTGTTTCCGAGCATGCCACAGCACATAGGGCCTGGCTTTCATACCCAGATGCTGCTCGAGTCTCAGTGCATTTGGGGGCTGGGAGCGCTGCCGTAATCAGCCAGGACTGCGATGGGGGCGTCTGTGTGCACTTCACTGCAGTCCGTGCCATCAAGGCAGGAACAAGTCCTCACCTCTCGTGAGGAGCAAGACGCGGCAACACGCAGTGGGTGGATGATGTGAGGGCTGGGTCAACAGTGGTAATCTTGGCTAATCTTGGCTAGCTGGCCCTGGTGGAAGCTCTCTACCGATGGACTATCTAACAAAGCAGTCTTGCAAAACGTGAGGCTCTTCAGTGCAGCAGGTCTCCAGCGCTAGCACTGAAATGGGTCATTGAGGCAGCACTCGTGGCCTCAGCTGGCCCTAAGCTCAAAACCAACTATGCCCAGACTATACCGTCACCTTATGATTGTTGTCTCCTGGCTCCTTACTGTACGTGATTTTCGTAGTCTGCTTTCCAAGTGATACATCCAGGTTCATTACCATAGTACCCCACCTGGGGAGAAAGCCTAAAAACTTTCAGCCTTCCCCAGACCCCCTAAAAGATTCAAAAAATGGAACCCCCCTAATGCGAACCCATTATTACATTGGGGAAACTAGGGGATTATTAGGGGGTTCCATTTTTGGGATCCTTTAGGGGGTCCTTGGGACTCCGACAGAGGAAGGCGAGGAGCTGCTCATCGACTACTCCGACCGTAGTCCTGGCAGAGATTGCTCTAAGGGTTTAGGGTTGAGGGGTTTAGGGTTTAGGGTTTTCAGTTTAGTTGCGCATTGGGTCTGGTCCAGGGCGATATTGGCTCGGGTGGCAGTGGTGGTCGTTACCTATGCTCGTCTTAGTAGCCGCTGAGGCGGTGCTACTCCAGAAGCAATCACAAGAATTTTCAGAAGTTTGTTGTATGGGATCATTAGGAGAAGGCACGGCTTAATCCTTCGGCGCACGGCTGCGGCTGTTATGGATGAAAACATGATTTCAACTTCTGGTGGCTTTTGGATTTTCCTCAGGTGCGTTAGCAGAGATGCTGGTTGTTGCTGGCGCGTGCCGAGAACACGTCCTCATTTTAGATGAAGCCGTGATGTCTCCAGGAAGTCGTGAACTTCAGCCAACCCCCTATACACTCTAGCAGCAACAGATGCGTGCAGCGCGATACAGCGGAGGTAATAGAAACAGACGAGACTTTGTCGGAAGTGCATCGAGGTCATGCCTGATCCCAAGCCGTCCAGCATAATTGTATGCACGTTAGCCTGCCCCTTTACCGTAAGAAAACAATTGTAGACCTCCAGTTACATGCCTGAGAATGGACAGCAGACAATTCTCGCATGATGGCGAACTGCCCATTGCTAGGCGGGTCTGCTTCAGATCAACTTGGCGATGTCAGAATGTCGGTCATGTTTGTTTGGCAGTTTCTGGATTTCGCAGGTCTGGGCGAGTTGGCCAAGGAGCTGATCTGTTGTCTTCCGGTCGATGCTACTCGACCTGTCACGTTGCACTCGAGGTGCAGGCAGCATGAACACGTACGAGAATCTTGTGGCGTCATAATCATACTGAGAGCAGTGCGGCTTCAAGTTTTGTTGCTGACGCGCTCCCCACAGCGGTGCCAAGGACGTGTTTCGTTTCTCCCTGGCTTCAGGCGCCCCTACATGTACAGTTGCCAAGTGTGCCATCCGTGCAGCAATGATGTCTGGAAAGGGAGGGAGGGAGAGAGAGAGAGAGAGAGACAGACAAATGCAATGATAGAGAGGTTGGGGATGTCTTGTATTTTCCTCTGTGAGCTTGTTGTGTAGAAGGCAATGCTGGCATTGTGGGCCGAAGCAGCAGTCGGGGGGTACAGCTCAATGTCGTGCCAGCAGTGCATGATGTGGGGGGACCCCGATCAGCAGAGGCATGGTTTTGAGGATGGACAGTAGTACCCGCGATGGACATGTTAACCTTGTTGTTGAATGAATGTTGTTGGTTTGATAATCCTGTGCGGTATGGTCTCGTCCTCAGTACACTGGCCAGACCGGGCTGGACCCAGCTTGCGGCTTTGCCGCAGCGCACCTCGCGGGGTGCGTGCAGCTGTGAGAAGAAGAAGAAGACAGACAGAGAGACAGCGCGAGCCACGAGCAGTGGTTCGCATAGCTTACATGAAGAACGAGAAGAAGCGAGCAGCGTCAGCCCAGCCCTGTCAGCTGCCTGTGGGGGCCTCTGCCGTGTGGCGCTGCGAACGCTGCGGCTTCAGGCGTTTGGTGCCGGTGCCGCCGAGGCTGTCTGCATGACAGCTCTAACAGTAGCAGCAGGAACAGGGTAGAAAGCTTCAGGGCTGGACGGAGATAAGACGCCAGTCTGCAGCAGCATCATAGACCTCTGCCCTATGGCGTGTTTCTAAGCAACAGGTCAGTCATGGCGCTCGAAATTTGGTTGTATGACAGTCATCTTTGATGTGCAGAAGGCTTTGCTGCGCTTGGTGGACCTGCGAATCACTGATCGAGGCACAACGGATATCGCAGTTCGTCAAACTAGTGCGTATAGAGGCCTTACCAGGCCTGATTCACCTGATGATCCTCTTATCATCCCTACGTATCCCTAGGGTGTCAAGTGATCCCCCGACTTTTTGAGCTCTTCCTGAGAGATTCCCCCTTAACACGGAAAACCAAATGGGAAATTACATGCAAACTGGGGTTATATATGGGTTATACTGGGATGATGGAAAAAATCGGAACCTACCATGATAGGGTATATATGGGGTTGTATAGGGATAATGGAAGAGACAATGGAAATTATTAGAACAGGGTATATATTGGATACAAGTTTAGATTGTATATTTGGATGATGGAGAATCAAATGGAAAGGAACATGGAAAATGAAATGGAAACATGTGTTCTATAGGGGTGTATATATACATATATGGGTATCTTGTATATGGATTTTTGGGGTCAAGCTTTCCTGACTTCACATGGGCCCTTGCCAGGAGCCAGTATTCACGAGATTGACGCCTCCTTCTGCAGGTCAATCACAAATGACCCCGGGCATAACATCAGGCATCGTTTCAGATTCAAGATTCAATCCATATGCAATATACCCATGTAGATACCCCTATAAAACTACAATTTCCATTTCATTTTCCATTTTCTTTTCCATTCGATTTCCATTATCCCAATATACAATCTACCCATATATAACTCTATATATCCTGAAATTGGGGATGGCTGGCTCCACCATGTCGTGCAGGGTACCCAGGGTACCCGTGGTTTCCACAGACAAAAGAGACCCAGAAGCTGAAGCGTGTTGAAGTGGCTGGCACCTCTCTGGGTAGAGCCAGGATCTCTAGGCCTGCCCGAAACCTGTCCATTCTATCCTACTATGCCGACCTGAAGTAGAACTGTCACTCATTGCAAACTGCATGCATGGGTCGGCCCATATACAGTAGTCCTGGTACCCCAAAAGGGTCCCTGTTTTTCACCCGAATGTCTTCTGCATCTCAGGAAACACTCAAAGCGCTTCCAGTTCTGCCAACGCTGGAATCCTTAAACCTGGATGGCTGCCAAGACGTGGATGACGAGGCATTCAGGTCTTCAGCGGGCAGCCTCAGCGTGCCAACGTAGCGGTTGCCAAAGCAACTTGGGTCTCAAATGCAGCGAACTGGGATGACGCATGTACAGCAGCCGCTTGAGTTGTAATAACCAGGGCTGCCAAGTGCAGACTATATGGCGATGTGGTCGCATGTTACAAGCCATGTTCCAACAGCAAGCAAGTCGACCAGTCGCGGAAAGATGGCCCCCCCAACCAGGCAAGTACAAAAAACAACAGCCCATTTGAAGCTGGCAGGGGCTGATAGCCGTGTCCCAGCGGTGCCGTTCTCTGCGGCGCTTCAGCATTTACTGGAACGTCAAGGCCTCGCGCTGCGCTCAGCGCACCCAAATTTGAAATAGCATTCTTCAAACAGGTCAAAAAAATTCTGGTACAATTTAGGTAGGTCAGCGTAGGCCATGAATATCAACCTCAGCGTAATTCCTTCCATGTTTTTCCGGGTGCCCTCATCATGCCCAGTAACCTTTATCCCAACCTTTATCCGATCGTATTGTTTCTCCATGTTTCTCCATATTGTCACCGTATTCTCTGTCTGCCCCGACTCTTTGCTGTTGCTTCTTGACAGGCCACGGACCAGGGCATTGGCAAGGTGCTCCGAGCCCAGCCCTGCGGCAACTTGCAGGCGCCTGGGACCTGACGGTTGCATACGGCTGGGGGCCCACAAAGAGCCGATATGGTTTTGGTATTGCCCCTTTTTTTGCTTGAGGGCCGTTTGGTAAGAAAAAGCCTAGGGTCACAGGACTGGTGGTGATTCCTCCCACAACCCTCACCTTCACCATTTGCAGTACCTAGTTCTAATGGTCTGGATAGACCCCCCCTCCCCCCCCTATCATAGGATATTCTGGGGGGGGGAGTCCACCCAGGAAAAAACATTTCCTCCTATTTTTTTTTGGGAGTGGGGGGGGTGTGGATCAGAAATAGGAAGAAACGCTACAGTCGCAGTGGTAGTTGCCATCAAGTGCCATTGCGGACAGTTGACACATGTTGGGATTCATGGGATGGCTTATGGTGCTTCGCTTTTCTGGCTGTTCGAGCAGGTCAGGAGCCTCTTGATTGGGCCGCATCTAGCACGGGACATAATGAAGAATTGCGGTTTAGGGCCAGCGGCGGCCATCTCAGAAACTTCACATACTCGAGAAACAGGAAAAAGCCTGGGGGGGGACTTGTGGTTTGTGGTAGCAGTAATAGCAAAGTCCACATGCTACCCCCTCAAATCTTCCGTTTCTATCCCTGGGTATCCTTGGCAAGTCCTTTGTAGGAGGTTCTTAGGACCTTAGGAGGTTCCCAGAAAGGTGGGAAATCTTAGGAATTCTCAGAACATTTCAGAACCTTCACAGGCTCGAGAAATAGGAGAAAACCTGGGGCGGGGGGACTTGTGGTTTGTGGTAGCAGTAATAGCAAAGTCCACATGCTACCCCCCAAATCTTCTTATTCTATCCTTGCGTATCCCTGGCAAGCCCCTTGTAGGAGGTTCTTAGGAGGTTCCTAGAAAGGTAGGAAATCTTGGGAATTCTCAGAACATCTCAGAAACTTCACAGGCTCGAGAAATAGGAAAAAACCTGGGGGGCACTTGTGGATTGTGGTAGCAGTAAAGCAAGGTCCACATGCTACCCCCGCAAAAATTCCTTATGACGGCCTTCCGATTTCCTTCTTGACATCAGAATAGACCAGACACCTGAGATCATATTAGGTTCCAACACCTCGCCTACCTGATAAATTTTGGCAGGATCCGTCTAGAGTCCCAGACCCCCCCCCCCCAGTAGGAAATTCTCAGACCCACTCGAAATAGGAAAATTTCCTATCAAACCCTCCCCCCAATTCCCCCCCCTAGATAGGGAGGGGGTATGTCTGGATGTTCTTTTCTCATCGCTTGTCAGGAGCTTTGCTTCAGTGGCTGCAAGCTTCTTACGGATGCCACCGTGCGGTGCCAAGTAGTCGGAGCTTTGCCTGCCACTGCAGTTTGCTGATGGATGATTCGGCTCTGATTTCTTGAGATCGCAGTGACAGCCTCATGTTCAATGTCTGCCGGCGGGTGAAACAATTTTTGAACCACTCGGTTGGCCCAAGGTGCAGCGGGTTGTTGGACGCGCGCCTAAGCTCCAGCGGCTGGATCTCACTCGCTGCCCGCTCGCAGCCTGGCAAATCGAGTTAGAGTAAGCAGGCATTAGGGGTAAATTGAGTTCTACACCTCGCTGATCATAGTTTTCGCCAGGAGGCACCTGCAGCAAACAGCGAGACTACTTCTTGCATGTGATGCATGACAATTGCATGACTTTCAGCGGCTCCAGTCTGATCTCTGACTGGGTTGCGCAAGACCACTGCTTGAGACACCTGCGGTCATAGGAGGGTCAATCCGAGGTAACGGAGATGGGTATCACGCTAGTGTGCGAAACTCTTCCAGACCTGCGGGTCTTGCGCCTCTATGCGATGTGTGGGCCTAAGATGGCCTAAGCTCCTCAGGAAGCTTGTCCTAGTGCGGTCGAATGGGTGAGTTTTGAATGGTCTCGGGCAATCATTGTGCTTTCGAAGCATTGCGCGTGTCGGGCACCACGAGCCAAGCATTATGCCAGGTCGCAGCTGAGTGCAGAGTCCTTTTTGAGCCTGCAGAAGCACCCTGGCTTGTTGGGTAGTTCTTAACATTGATTCTGCTAGTGGTGCCCAGCCACGACCCTGATCAAGGCATTGCAGAACTTAGTCAATGAGGGATCGGCTTTGCAAAAATCTCCGGGTCAACTTAAAACACTGTGCCAGTCATCCAAGGCTCCCACTGCTGGAGGAACTGGACCTCTGTGGCTGCCGTGCGGAAGATGCAGCCGCACCTCATCAAAAAACTGTTTACCTCGTACATGACTCCGGACTTGCTATGGGCCCCTGTCGGATTGGCTTCGATCAGTTCCTTTGACTGTTCAAAGTGATAGCTGCCCCTTGTGCTGCGAATCCAACAGCGACACCTTCCACAGCTAAGGTGGAGGCCTTCCTGGCAGCGGCAGAGCCAGGCCAGCAATTCGCTGGGTTACCTGGGTTTGGTGTTGTGAGTAGGGTACGGCAGAAGTAGAAGCAGTAGCAAGAAGTGTGACTGTACCGTGTGGCTGTAAGAGGTATCGCAGAGTCGTGTGACTTCTCAGCACCATTTGCCTGCGCGTCGACTTGCAGGAGCACTCCAAATCCTCAACCTGACATGGTGCCCAGCTTTGACGGATGTGTCCATGCTGGCGGTGGCCAAGCACTGCACACGCTGCTTGCCACAACATTGTAGTATGCTTCTGCCTCGTGTGAACGCATACCGCGCCCCAGAAGTAAAGAGCCATGGAAGATGTCCTGCTTTTGCCGGTCATATCCCATAATGATTGTCTGAGCAGCGGGGAAGTGTATTTGCCCAATTCTCAAGCTGAGACACAGGTCTAAACTGGCTGAGCTTTTTTGGCAACCTTAACATCACCGCTGCGGCAGTGGAGGCATCATGGGCAGATGTGGCCCAAAACTGTGTCTTGTTCCCGTGTACAGGCTTAGATGTTGTTCCATCTCCCTTCTCTTGCCACATGAAGCAGCCCCTCGCACATGTTGCACAAAGACGAGCAGTTTTGTTGGAAGCTATTATGAACCAAAGGAGTGGTCCATTTGGTCAGCTTGACACCCTAAACACACAGATTAGGCTGGGGGGGGAGGGGGGGGGCGGAGAAAGAGTAAGAGCCAGAAGGCCAAAGCCCGAAGAAGAAGGAGGCCAAAGCCGAAGCGCTTGCTGAGCCCTAGTTCACAGATTTCCTTGTACTATTCCAACAACCATATTTCTTATATCTATGCAGTACAGGACAGCTTACCAAAACCTAGTTCTCAGTTCGTTTCTTCCACCTTAGGCGTTCTTTGGCAGCTAGCGCAGGCCTTGGCTGCTGCACCATGTGCTGCCACGCTGCGGGCGCTGGATTTGCGAGGCTTGGCGCAGGCCCAGCTTCAGGGGTGAGGGGGCTTTTTTCCACTAAGGGATGTAGGGCTTGTGACTTACGGTTGCTAGGGTTTAGGGTTAGGGGATGTAGGGCTTTTGACTTAGGGTGGGTAGGGGTTTGGGGTTTAGAGATGTAGGGCTTGTGACTTAAGGGCTTAGGAGGGAGTGGTGCTGAAAGGCTGCAGAATTCTGATTCAAGAAGAAGGGACCACAACTTGGCTTTACCCTACAACTCGGCAGTTCATGGCAGTTCATACTGTGCCCCAAGCCAAACCCCTATGCCGTGCGCTGGGATGATTGGGCCCAGTCGGAGATGGGCCAGTCCAGTGGCGCTAAGCGGCAAAATGTTCGTGTGAGAATGGCGCAACTTCACGGTGCAGATGGCAGTCCTCAGGATAAAGCGGAGGTCTTTGGCCAGATTGAGGAAGGTGCGGCGGTCACACTCACCGTTGGTGTCCAAATGGGGCCTTCGGTCATGGACATGCCTCAGCAGGATAGGGAACGCAACAAGGGCAGGGTCCAGGGTTGACTTCGGTCACGTCTGATAGGGTAAGTGAGGGACAAGTTGAACGACCTCATGAACAGGGTCAGGGCTCTGTTCAGGACGTGGCTGGTTTCCTGAGCATACTACATGTGGAGCCGGGGGTCTTGACAAATGCTAGGCCGCAACGGGAGTACTGGGACAAAGTCCTGGATGCTGTTCAAACTCACTGGATTGCTACGCAGCAGCTCTGAGGGGTGCAGAGTTTGTCAAAGCCGCGCTATGACTTCGAGGTTGCCCGCCCAAACTGGGCTTTGCATGTCAGGTGCTGGAGGGTCAAAGGGGCGTTAACAAAAACGCTATGCCCTAAACCCTGTGCCTGCTGAGTGCGATGCGCATGCCTGAACCTTATATGGTACTGGTAGTTTCCCCAATTACGGTACCCCAATTTGACCCCCAAATATTATGATCCTTATTATTGGGACCCGCCGGGTGGTACCCCCAAGTTGGGGAACCCCCCACATCAACCCTAAGACCCCTAAACCCTAAACAAGACAAAACAAAAACCCTAAGACATAGAGTTCAGGACGGGTTTTGGGGGGACCAGCCATTGCTGGATCAGACTTGGAGCTGGCACAGGCTTCAAATTTAGGGTTCAAATATAGGGGTTATACAGGGTTGCATATTATAAGGATATATAGGGTTACACGGGGATTATAGGGGTTATATACGGACCAATTACATAGGGATAATACACTAACAATGAAAAAGAAACTGGAAGCTACTACAAGTAGGGGTTTGGGACTCCGGGGTTATTACCTCCAGGATTCGGCTTGTAGGGACATATGGCAAATTTCCAAAAAGATTGGGGCACCCCGGTATAGCCCCAAAATGGCATAATTCTCAATATGGGGATCCCTAAGACGAGGTCTCCCTAACTTTGGGAAACCCCAATCCCCAAAACCATCTATATAATCCAAGGTTTCAGTTTGTTTTCCGTTTTTCCCACCTGATTCTCGGTTCCTGGAGTCATGTATCCCCATATATCTCTATGTAGATATATATATATGTTTGTGTATATATATACATCCCCCAAGACCCCAAGCCCTAAACAACCTCCTATATAACCCCTATATTCAAAACTCCCCGGAGTCCTACACCTGTCCACACCTGAGGCTTTCCCCAAATTAGGGATACAGCCCCAATGAGGGGTGTAGGGTTTGAAAGAAGGGTTTTAGGGTTAGATATAGCAAGTCTAACTGTGAAAGGTGGAGGAAAAAAGGAATTAGGAGTACGCACGGACATATGACGCGCAGATCTTTATCGGTCATAGGCGACATATACAGGATGGATAGATGGACATTGCATTTGTGCCGGAGACTTTTGATTGGAAATCTACAGCGCGCTCACCAACAATGGAAACGACATGGAAAATAAAACTCAAACTGTGGTCATGTAGGGGTTTATGGGGGTTGTAGGCAGGAAGCCGTTCAATTTGTAACGAGGTCATAACCTGTGCGTACCCCAGCGACCATTATGGATGACGCTAGTGACTGCTAGTGGTTGTCTCGGAATTGAGAGTCCCTTGACCCTCCAGCCACACTAAGACCCTCCAGCCACCAAACCAAGCTGCGTCAGGCCGCACCCTACGGAGACGGCCGCTCTGTTTCCTGGCTGATGGCAAGAAGATACTTGCGTATTTGGTTGCCAAATCAGGGGCGCCTGGGGGCCCAAAGTCCGGAGCGGTGGGGCCATACATTTGACAAACACCTAAATGTTGCACAGGAAAGGTTTTTGGTGCAAACTTGCTCGGACGCTGAGGTCCGAGCGATTTTCCCGCAGGTCCGAGAGACGGAACTGCACCACTAGCTTGGCGCCGGTGCCTGGGATGAAAAGTAGCCGTAATATTGGCCACAGGGAGCATTGCTGAAGTTTGACTGCACCTGGGGTGGGTTGATCGACTTCTGAAACTTCTCATTAGGCGAAAGAATAGCTCGGCAACGTTGCAGCTCATGCCCTAACAGCCAACACTTGGTGAATTTGCAATCTGAACATCTGCAAGCTAGTTCAACTCAGGTTAAACTGCAACACGGCAGCGGCAGAAATCGGCTGCTGCAGGGCACGAAGCAAAAAAAGCAGCAAGCAGCAAGGGTACTTCAGTGGCATCGTAGGCCCGACAAATGAATCCGAGACATTCTTAAACGCAAGCTGTGCGTTGAGAATCAGCATATGATAAACTCAGAAGGCAAGCATGGCGCCATCAAGGGGTATTTTCTGGGATCTCTGGCGAAGCCTAAGCCTTTTCGTGCCTTTTCCATTGGGATTGGGGTCTCCATCGGGCGGTGACAAATGGGTGGTTGTCAAAATTATGGTCCCTTTCTGGATCCTTATCATAATACTGCACCTAATATTTAGGGAACTCAAAAAGGGACCCTAACTTGGGGAAGCCCTAACCCTGTAAACCCATATACAAATCCCAGTTTCCATTCTATTTTCCATTCTCTTTTCCATTTGATTCTCCATTAATGGTACCAAAATGAGACTCTAAATTTGACAACCACCCAAATAACCCATTGTCTTTTCCATATCCCATTATTTTGGGACCATAAATTTGACAACCACCCACATGCCAGGGTGGTGGGAAGCCAAAGGCGAGACGCCGTCCTGAGCCGCTGTGGCAGCCGCGACCGCTTTATATAATCCCTATAATCCTTTGTAGACCCCGATTACTAGTGTACTCATTCTAATCCCTATATAATCCCTATATAATGCCTATATATACCGCTATATAATCCCCATATTCCTTTGTAGTTTCCATTTTCTTTTCCATTGTCCCAATATAACCCCAATGTACGGGCAAGAAAGGTGCGCTAGGGACAGTAGCGAAGACTTAAACTGTTGTAGCGATGTCCTTTTTGATTTTTTCTTTGGTGATGGTTGTGAAGGAAGATGCAAGAAGTAGATCTCCTAATCTAATCGCCCCTCACGCTTCCAAAGCAACATCCGCAAGCCCAGTGGGCCAAAGATCTGCCAAACGCTGCCAGGATGTGAGCGCAAAACAGCGCTTATGCTCAGTTGCCAATGAGGGTTGCCAGGCAGTCAGAAGGTTGCAAATCTGAGTTTGGCATGAATGCGCTAATGCTTGTTGGATGCGACCTGATACCGTCTGATAGAGTACTGTACCTGAATTTGCAGATATTCGGTATGCTGGACCGGGAGCCGGCAACGGCCCTTGGGCTTTATCGTCATACTGTGAGGAGGTTGTGCATGTTTGCCATCCTTCCAGTGCAACAAGCAAGCAAGTGCTGGGGCATGGACTGTTTCAGGGGTGACAGCCAGAAGGCCCAGACAGAACAGCTTGACACTATGAAGCAGCGGCTTTAGACTTCAGAGTTTCGGCATGCGGTGTGCAAGCGGCCGCCTGCGTGGTCGGGTAGTATGGCTTCTTCTGGGGCCGCAGCTTGGCACTAATTCTGTGCAGCTGTTGTCAAAGTTTACTCTTGTTATGCCGTGCTAAATCTGCCAAACAAAGCCTCGGAAGCTGGGAAACGACATTGGCGGTGCTTACCAGAGCGCTGCAATCAAGTTGCCAAGGAGATTTGATGCTAGCCCAACTAACACTGTAGAGTATGGCGGGCATCCTGTCATGTTACAGAGATATTCAAGAAGCCTTGCCAAGCAGGGCCTTTGTTGGGAATGGCCTCAGCTGGTTGGCCATGCGACCAATGCTCACTGAAGGCCAGGGATGTTTACTTCAGCCTTCACCATCTATGGTCTGAAGCTGTCACGTGGAAAGGGTTGCGGCACAGCATCAGCTTTGGGTCTTTCAGACGTCAGGCCTGAGACCCTCTCGCAGCCCCGTGCGCAGCACAGCACAGCGTCTGCCGCGAAGCAGCGGCCTCTTGGCTTGCAAGAGCAACATCGTGTGCCTCCGCTAAAGGACATGAAGCGGCAGGTGTAAACCTGAAAATGATCCATCCCCATGATGGCAAGGTAATGGCGCACGGGAACCCAGCCGCCGGAGTGCACTGGCGGAGTGGGCGCAGGGCGCGTTGCAATCTGCAGGCAAGGCAAACATGAAATGGGGTCTTTCCAGTATTGGTCAATGTTCCTGAGGTGGAGGCGGAGGGCCCCTGAACGTCTTTGTTCGGAGTCCACCAAAGTTCCTGCTGCCTATCGTCATTCCAAGTTTGTTAATAGAAGCTTCCCAGCCGACTCAGCATTGTGAACGTTGACCTGGTTTTGAGGCACCCTGGCTGCTGCCGCAGCAGCCTTCTACACAGGGGCGAAGGCACTTACACTGGCTGTAACATCGACTGTTCAGAATCGATGCGCTAGTCACTAGCAAAGCTGGAAGACCCAAGGGTGAAGTTTGAGCTGCTTATCGCAAAATCCGCAACATCGATGCGAGAAAAACAGGCGCGCAAGCAATGCTTGCCATTTTCACGGTAATGATCAAACTGTGGTAAGAGGAGCAGTCATGCAACGACCCAGATTGCTGTCTTTGGCTCTCCTCGGC